TTATTCTGTACCTAATAGTCATAGTTTGAAATCACAGGAACACTCTTGTGGTTTTGCCATTATAGAGTAGCTCAGCTGGAATTCACTCATCAGCTGAAAATCATCTGAAATCTACTTATTTATTCAAATGTAAATGACAGCCAAACCTAATCACTTTTTTCCAGGTAAGCACTGAGAATATTAACATAGTTTTGTCAGTTGAAGATGAGCATAAATGGACAGGTATCATTTTGGTGTGGCATGATAAAAAATCATTTCTATATTTTAAGTATGTTGATAGGCACCTATTTTTCTTGTGTTTTATTTCTTAGTAAAATTTTACCCAAAACTTTTTCACAGCTGTTTTCCTTCTGTCAAATGTCAACAGAACCACCAGATATACATATCATTGGGAATCTGCCCTTCAGTGTTTCAACTCCTCTAATCATCAGATGGCTTGAGAATGTTTCGAAAAGGGATGGACCTTTTATTTATGGCAGGACACAGATGACACTGACTTTTCAAAAGGAAGTTGGGGAGGTAAAATTTTGGTATTTTTCCAATATTGTACAGATGCTAAATTGAACAAACAAATTGTTTATATGCAATCTTTTGTTTAAAACTACAAACTCAGTCTTGACTTTGAAAAGAGAAGAAAAGGTTAGTTCAGTTTTTAGTTTATGCAACTGTAAATTATGAATTTTGATGAGTTAATTATCTACTCTGATCCTTTCACAAGTATGGAATTTTTTTTTTAATGTCTTAGGCAGCGTTATATTTCATTGAGGTACTCTTTCTGTTCTTTTCTGAAGTCTGATTTATTTAACATGTATAGATTGTACAGCACTTTTCTGTTTTTAAATGTGTTTATTCTCTTACAGTCATTTGTGCAGTGTGTCATCTATCTGTTTTTCCTTACCTTTCATTCATCTCAACAAATACACTTATATTTATTTTATTTGTCCTCTTTGTTAAAAGTAATTTTTAAGAAACACATTCCTTAAAATAAGGAAAAATGGAAGGTTAGCATTATTTCCATTTGCAATTCAACACTTAAAATGCAGAAGGTAGTTGTCGAGACCATGGAATTGGTACTGGCTTTCTTGAATGATACTTGATATCAGAATTATTAATGTATTCTGCCATTCTTGTGTGTGTGAAAAGGCCTTAATTGACTTCTGTCACCACAAGTCCAAGAGCAAATTGATATTTTACTTCATATTTAATAGTTAATTTCTCAAAGAAGGCCAGACTGATCTGCAGTATAGTAGTTTTAATGCCAGATAAGTTGATATTAGGTTGCCTTACTCCACAGTGCTTTCAGACTTAACAGTTTATTTCTATTGACATTGCATGAAATCTATAAAACATAGAGAATGGAAAGTTTTTTTGCTTTGCAGTTACGGAAGCAGTCTGGATTTTAACAAGCACCTCACTTGCATTTATAAAGAAAAAAAGGAGTTGCATATCAGCCTGAAAACTGAATTTCCATTTTATTACTGCAGTGTTTGTAACTTGTATTTTGTCTGTGCAGCCTCAGTGTGTATGTTGTTTTAATTTTAATCCTTCAAAGTAAAAATTCAAATAGGAAAATGTTGATGCTTTTTTTGACTCTGTGATGATTAGTAATAATTATGTATGTAAGTGGAATGTTTGCTGTCATATTTTTGGGTCAAAGAAAAGCATATTGTGCTGTCATTTCCCTAGCCTTGCAATCAAGATTGAAGAAGTATTTCCAGTGGGTGACTCTAGAGAACACTAGGGACAAACATTTGGTATGAAATAAACCAGATTTCTTAATTCAATTCTGGACTCATTTGGTTTCAGACATTACAGAATCCCCTTCTGTTTCCCAGAAGGACTTCATGTTATGTGAGATTAGGCCTTGTTTCAAAATATGGCTAATGGACTGTGATGTAAAATGCAGAGTAATGTTAGTTTTGTGTCAGCAAAAATTCACCTAACACTGTGTGAGAGCACTGTGTACTTTATATCGCTGTACCCTGCTGCACATGTCATTGGTGACACGCACATTACAGTTCTGCACCCAGCATAGCTCAGTAAGGTGTAAAATACCATGCACGCTCTTGCACTTAAAACACTGAGGAGTTAGAAACACTGGGAAATGAAACGTGTTGTTCAAGGTCATGCAGTGTTAATTTTTGTTGAGTTTACATTCTGAGATCTCTTGATTTCTTGTTCAACACAGTTTAAACACGGGTCTTCCTTCAAAGACAAAATTGTTCATGGTTTTTGGTTTACATTTCCATTATTGGTTTGATACCATGAAAAGAAATTGTTTTTAGGATACTATTTTATTTTATGATTAAGAGAAAGAGCAATAGGCTCTGTGTTTTTTCTCCTGACCATCTGGAGTTTCTTAAGGTAACCACTGTAAATTGGTGAGTAAAGGCATATTCAGTATCAGGCAAGAGAGAACAGTGTACTACAGATAATAGTGAGTTGCTACCAATACTTTTTGTATCTTTGGATTTATAGTCTTGATAGGGGAATTTCTTATATGCAAAAACTTGGTGTCCTCCTTGGATATTTCTAGAATAATAGCCTAAATATCAAAGAAAGTCTGTGTATGTGTCATAAGCCCATCAGGAGCATAAGACAAATCATGGAGTGGAGTGATGTGCTTTATAATTAGTTAGGATAACTTGATGTTAACAGTAAGAAAGTGAAGCAATATGCTCTTTTATTTATGGTCAGACTTTGTTTTGCCACTGTAACAGGCAAAATACCTTTGCCTTTCCTGCTGGTTGTGTTTTCTTGCTTTTCTGTTTTCTTGTAGCACAGCAATGTTAGGAGGGTTATGTCACTACACACCTACTACTGCAGCCCACTCTGTTCTGATATAAATAAATTGATTAAAGCTGATGAGAACCAGCAGTTATTTTATATGCTGAATCTGAGGCCTGTTACAGAGGAATATCCATAGCAGTAAAAACAGCACTTTGGAGTGTCAAGCAGATAATTTTTTTTTTCTCTGTAGTTTAAATTTGTTGTTCACTTTGTGTGTAAGAACTTTTGCTTTGTCCCAAATTCTTCAGTGCTTCATCTCAAATCTGTCAGCTAGGCCAGGTTCTTCCAGCCCACTTACTCTAAAATTGATCCTCTAAGAGGGCCTGTTGCTATAGAAAAAGGAGTAATGGTTTTAAACTAAAAGAGGGTAGACTGAGATATAAGGAAGAAATTTTTTTACAGTGAGGGTAGTGAAACACTACAGCAGGCAGCCAGGAGGTGGGGTAGATGCCCTATCTGTGGAGACCTTTAAGGTCAGGCAGGGCAGATCTCTGAGCAAGCTGACCTAGCTGCACATGTCCCTGCCCATGGCTGGGGGTTTGGCTGGCTGCTCTGTGTATGGGTGCCGTGCACTGGTGTGTTCCTGCTGCTGTGGTTGAAGTGGTTTGAGATGTTACAGCCCAGATCTAAAGTTATCCCTCCTGTAACTGAGAAGCAGGAACTTACTGTCTGAGACTTGCTAGACGGTTTCTGGGAGAAGTAACGATAGGTTTGTTTGAATTGGCACTGGAAGTATAGGTACAAGTGTTGCCATTAGGTCTGTTTCATTTCCACTGCAGAGGTTAAGGAAGTGTGTGTCAGATTGCATTGTTAGACTTTGCAGTCTGGGTTTTTTTTAGAAAATAATAGTTTCCTCTGACACAACAATGAAGGTAGCTTTAAATGCTGGCATAGGCAGAAAGAATTGCTGAGCATTCTTTCCAAAAAAGTATTTATTTGCTCCATACCGAACCGCCTTTCGTAAGAGTTGTTTGGAAAAATGTGAAACGTCAGCAACAGGTTTAGCTTTTAGTTTTCAGGGATACATTTTATAAGCATGGCAGCATTTCTTGAGTACGCTTTTCATACGGAACTAGATGTTGCACAAATATTACCAGATATGCAAATTGGGGTTCAGTGTTTATTTTTTATTGAGGTGGTGGTAAATAAGACAGGAATCATCGTGATTCTGTTTTTATGTAAGTTAGTGAAATGAATTCTGTAATCTGAGACTTGTTTTACAACATGCTTCATATGTTTAAAATTTGTGCAAGCAAAACACAATAAAATGTGTTCCTTACCAGGTCACAAAAGTGTAGGAAACCTCTGTCCAGGCTACTATTTTGTGAAAAAATTCATGGGAAAATCAGAGAATACTTAAATTGAGTATTAAGTATTAAATGCTCTCACTGTTAGGCATTCTAAATTTAGGTAAAGTAGACCCAGCTTCCTTGCAAATATTTTAAGTGTAGCTCAGTTAATTATGAAGGTTCTAGCTGATCTTGAGTTTATGGAGCTTTGTTTCATGTTAAGGAAAAGAAAGTAGTAATATTTTATACAGAAACAGTGGAAGGAAAGGATTGTGTGAGTACTGCCAGCTTTTGAATTCTACAGTCAGAATAGTTTTATTTTTCTCTTGTATCCATACAAAATTCTTTTGACATTCATTTAGATCTACAGAATTTCTAGGAGTTCCTTTTCATGTGCATTTGATTGCAGGACTGAGGTTGTAAATCAGTGGTATCTTAGTGAAATGCTGCCATATTGAAGAAGAAAATCAGAGATGAACTGGGCGTACAGTTTGACTATTAACTGGTGGTTTGTCTTAAATTTGATTATACTGAAAATCAAACTTTAATATAACTGATCACTTGGTCAGTTCAGTATCACCGATGTACATGTTTTGATTTTCCCATAGAGACTTACAGCTAATCCAGGAAGTAACCAACGCAGCAGACTGTCCATCATGGCTCAGCATCTCTGCACTGTGGAAAACTGTTTCTTAATTCCAGGTCAAGCTTTTGTTCCAAAGCCAGAGGTAGGTTTTCCTGTATTTATTTGTGGTTTTTGTTAATATGTCAGTCAAGCAATGTATCTTATTTTCACTAAGGAACATTGGTGGCTGCATTATTTGAACATCTCCATATTACAAAATGGAGTGATGTGAAATTCCTGTGAATGAAGCATACTTATTCTGAGAAAGTGCTTTTTCTTTTTTTGTTCCTCAGAACTTGGCTTTGACCTTCAAACCTATCTGCAAGGTCAGCATACTTTTCTAGGTATTCTGGAGAGGGAGATTAGGATATAATGGCAGGATAGTCTGCTAGGATTGGATTATTTTTGGAAAGCCTGCCGTTGGCATTTATAAACAATTTGGGAATTGTGCCTTAAGAATTTGATGGGTCTTTTGAAAGACTGTGATAAGAAAAGCTTTTAATTTGTCACCTTTGTCAAACATCTCTAATTTTACCATGTCTATAATCTTTATGTTTCACCCCAGTCATCTTTAGCATATCTAACTCCCTCCTATTTGCAACAGCACTTTGTCACCTATATCCCACTGGTAGTTTAAAAAAGTAACAATCTCTTCTCCCTCTTATATGTTCTTGAGTGAACAATCTCTTTGTTGTGCTCTTATCTACTGCCACTGGTTTTTATTAGTACCCATTTTGAGTACAGGAATCAAAAATTAAGAAATAAATACGTATTTTGACCAAGAAGCTTGTTTTGTTCTGGATTCTTTTGTAAAATTTTGTGCCTGTCTTTAACTGATGTCTGTGTCCCTGAATGCATGTGGAAATTATAGGCTTATAGGAATATTTGGGTTGGAAGGAACATCATTTAGGACCACTCCCATGCAATGAGCAGGAACATCTTCAACTATATGAGGTTTCTCAGAGTTCTGTCCCTTGTGATCTTGGATATTTCCAGGGATGGGGCATCCACCATCTTTCTGGGCAGCATGTCTGTGTTTTACCAGCCTCATTGTAAAAAGCTTCTTCCTTATATCTAATTTAAATCAACCCTCTGGGAATTTAAAACCATTACTACTTGTCCTGTTGAACTGCTGTTCCATTGCAGAACTGAGCTTGCAGCTTCTGAAAGTTCCTCTTAAATTGGTTGGTTCAGCTCCTCAATACATCTCCCTTCCCCTTTATCAGTCTCTCAGTCATTTTCACTTTTCTGGCATACCTCTTGAGAACCTTTGGAAGGTTATTTTCTAATTTTTCACAATGAATTTTAAAGCCTCTATCTGAGTATATTTTGATGGAAATTTAAAATTCTATTAGTTTTTCTTGAGCAAGTAACTGTTCAAACATGTTAAATTACTAGCTGTGACAACAGTTTGTTGTGAAAGAAAATGACCATGCTTAAGAAATCTTACTTTTTACTTTGAGGTTTTGGCTTAGGATTTTATTTTTCCCCTATTTCCTAGCTGAATGGAAAATAATTTCAGGATGCCCTCTCACTGTCAAGTATGTGAAATAAAGTTTTAAGTAAAGCTAAAATTGCAGTTTTATGTTGGGGATTTCTCAGTGGTGGGTACAATTTGAGTACTAATAGAGCTAAGGTAATTAAAAGTCTTGCAGACTGTGTCCTGGAAGCTCTAACTGATATTTCCATTTTCCTGTACTGAAAAGGCCATAGTTGACCAAGAGAGGTAAAACACAGAGTTGTGATAAATATCCTGGTATATGCATGTCCTAGAGGAAATTTGTGCTCTGTGGAATGAAAAAAAGCAGTACAACTAAAGACAGGCATATTTTTATTTGATGTATTTTTTGAGTTAAAATAAGCATTGCTTATACTGCAAAAGCAGAAAGTACAATTCTTTCAGACAGGACTGGCACCTGTTTTCACTATTACTTTGTTTCCTTCAAACTTCTGTTGTAGACTGATCTTCTGTTTTGTCCTTGTTCTTTTAGATGTCAACTGACACAGTTTTAGATGTTACCATTTCTCATAGAATCTGTTTTATTGGAAAGCTCTTGCTGCGTACTGTGAATGAAATAACTCTGTCCTTGATTTTTGTTTCATAGCAATATGAAGTACACCTACTTTTTTATTAAGTTTAAGGAAGAAAAATTTGCAGCATGTGTAACCAATGAACATTTTGTTATGCTCATGCTATTTTATTACCTTTTTCTTCCACCCTCATGTAAAAATGCCTCTTGATTATAAATTTTGCAAAGAGATTTAACTCACATACATGGTAATGATCACAGCTTAGTGTCATGTCAAACCCCTTTATAAAGGTGGAGATGCATGTCTGTGAGAAGGAATTGCTTACCTCATTTGCTTGATGCATGAATATTAATTCACCATTTCTATGAGTGTGGAGACAAAAGATTCTTGGTTAATGTAATGGTGCTGCACAGCATTGTGTCTTGGGAAAAAAGAAATTTGCTTTTTGGTCATAGTGAAGTCTCTGCAATACGTAATAACTACTGATAATTGAATTAGGAATAGTACAAAACAAGCTCCTTGATTAAAACATAGGAAACTCAAAATAGCTATGTAACAGTAGAATAGAAACAAGATATAATCCTGTTCTGTGTCTGAAAAATGAAGATTCTCTATGAATAAAGAATGTTTACATGATAAGTCCACTTTCCCAAACACTATAACAGATCATTTTCCAACATACTAAACATGTAATGTTTGTGCTCCTTCACAGTCTTTGAGTAAATTTCAGACTAGTACTATGGGAATGAAAGTTATGTATAAATACGCAGAATAAATAGCAGTTGATTTTATTGAAAGACTTGTCCAGCATTATATTCTTAAATTTAAAGGCCTGTATCATGCCCCTTTTCATTCTTGAAATTGGTCCTCACTTACTGAAGTATTTCGGTAGAACATACTTTGCCAATGAGCAATACATAACAAAATCTGTGTGGTGAAAGAAAAAGTTAAAGACTAAGGTTAAAGGTAATTATTCAAAATAAGACAGTTAAAAATAAAGAAGCTGTCTCTTTATCACTGTTGTATGTGTTACAATAATAGAATACCTGGGACTGGGTCTCGAACAGATCCTACAGGAATAATTAAAAGGATTTAAAGGGTTCTTTTAGAAGGTTAGAAATGTGGAAATCAGAAGACAGTAAGTGGTTACTGTGTTATTTGAGCTGTTCATAACTACCTTTAGCAAGTGTAAGCCAGAACGTTTACAGATGCTTCTTGACCATACATAATTTGGTTTCTGTCCTGTTTGTTACAGTTTGCAGGTGTTTACACAGTTATTTCTCTTGTTGTTCTGCTCCTCATCTCTTAATATTCACTGTGTAGTGATAGATTAGTAGCAGTTGGTGAATGTCCAGCACACTTTCCTTTTTAACAATAATAAATGAAATAAATGAAACCCACAGCAGGTGGCAGTTTGGGGCAGGAGAGCTGGGTTTGGCAAGAGCTGAATGGTACTGCTGATCCTTCATCCTGATACGCAGAGTATACAGTACAGCTAAGGTTTGAAGCCTTGAGCTTTTGTTGTGGATTTGTCTTGGTTGGTTGATTTTTTTGTGTATGTATTTTTTTATTTGTTTGTTGGTTTTTATTTTACAAAATTGTACTTACCAAGGCAATTTACAATTGAAAATGAAAGGCCGATGTGTCTGCTTTTTAGAAACCTTTGAACTGGGCTTCTTGAACAAATAGTTTCTGGGTTTTTTACCTTGCAGCATACATAAAATCAAGAGAAAAATGTGAAATACACTATAAAAAGCCATATGTTATTGAAAGTCTGATTCATTAAACAGAAAACAGTTTTTAATCATGTTTGCTGTTACATGCTGTTATCGATGCATGAATTGTACAGTCAGTTATGTTTTTAAAATAGTTCCTTTTTCTTCAATAAATGTTACTTGGGAAGTCAGAAAGGTTTGAAAAATCAACAAATGAGTACTCTTATAGCAGACAATTATCTTTTCCTACTTTTTCCTTTTTGTGGATAAATGAATGAAATACCTTGCAACCCAGATATAGGAAAGGTTAAGTGCTATGTTACACATTCTTTGAAATAATCAAACTACAGTTAACACACAAAAAACCCACTTGAATGAATAGAAATACTTCATTGGATAGAAATAATTATTTATACATAGTCCTTCAGGCTGTAACCTGCATTGCTCTCCTGCTCTGTGGATGGGAAATGGTGCTGCTTTGGAGGGTAAATCCACGTTCCTTGCTGCCTTTTAAAACAGGAAGAGCAGAAGATCACACCTGCGATAAGCAGAAACCCTGCTGAGATGAATCCAGTATAAACTGCTCCTCCCGGTTCATGTTTACTACTCTCTGGAACGGTCTGGTCCAGGAAATTTGAAATAATTTCTCTCGTGTACCAGCATGTTGGTACTAATCCAAAGATTCCTGCAAGAATGAAGCAGATTCCTCCAGCAAAACAAGCGTTATTTTTGCTGTCAGTGTCCCCTCCCAACTTTGTGCATTTCATTCCAACTGTAGTGATGCAGATCCCAAAGGCTGATAGGATACACGACAGTACCATGGTGGTCCGTGCAGCCTGGATGTAGACTGGGAGAGAGAGAATGGAGTATTTCAGGGTACAGCTGAACATCCCAGTGCTGTACCATGTGCAGTCCATCCAGAGTCCTTGCATCTGTGTTATAGCTGTTATGATATTTGAGCCAACATCTGCATTTACCTTCCAGTGTGGTAGCAAGGTGGCTGCGATATCTCCGAAAACACCAAACAGAGCCAGAATAAAAGCAAAGAACTGCAGGCTTGCTGATGCCATGATGTTTATCTTCTGTCACCTTTAGTCTTCCTTTTCTCTTGTGGAAATCAGTAACCAGGAGCTTTGTAGCCAAGCTGCAGCGGGCTGTGTAACAGAGAGGAAAGGGAGGGAGGAGAAGTGTGAGGGGGAAAGGAAAAGAAATCAGCAAACAAAAAAAGCTTGCATTTAAAATTAGAGCTATCTGAATGAATATCTGAATGTGACCCTGCAGCAGCTGAGCTGCTGTTCACAAGGTACTTGAACAGAGATGATGGCAAATGGACAGTGCTTTAGAATTGCTCTTAAAAAGGAGCTGCTGCCCTTTCATACATGATTGCAAGCCATCAAGCAAAACTTATTTTGCTGCAGTTGGTTTTGGTAATAGCATACAGATTGCAGGCTTACTAGACAAATGTACATTGTAAATGGAACACGAGAAACTTGCAGATTAGAAGTCATTGTGGTAGGAAAACGCTCAGGTAGAAAATACATTGTACTCTTCATGTATCTTGTTTAAGTGTGTTGATAGCTGTTGTCAGCTGCTGTTTACTTTTTTATATCAATGGATACTGTTATATCTTATTTAAAGTATGATTAAGGGTAACCCCTTACTTATGTTTTTTAAATGTTACCAGTTAATCTTTTTAATAAGTGTTACAAAATATCTTGGCTTTGGAGGAGAATACAATGGAATTAAGTTTTTGCAGTATTTTCACAATTAGTCATGTGACTTTTCTAAAGTAATATTTTATTTCATTTTTATTTCAACAGTTTTTTATTTTCAGTGATTTCTGTTCTTTGACTTAGAGCAGCAGTATTTAGCAAGTCATAAGAGTGAACATGATCTTCTTCTGTCTCTAAAATAACGTTTTTAATGCTGGTATGAAACAGCTCATTTGTGGAAGTGCCTTTTTTGAATCAGTCACATGTCTGAAATACTTTGCAAATTTGCCATGAAGTGGCAGTTTAAAATAATTTATTAAAAAAGCTCCTTGCTATTCTTTTATAAAGAGTTCAGTTTCATTTGACAGATGAGAACATTTTAGGCAGTATGATAACTGTGCAGCTGGGAAAACAGAACTGTAGCTGTAACATCAGCTGGACTGTTGGAATTGCAGATGCAGAACAGCAGTTTGAAACCTTGAAGGATTAGAAAGTGGTACCCTGCTTTGCCTGTTACGTGGGGGTATATAATTGACAGGTTTTGTCTTTTATCAGTGGTAGACAAAGGGCAGGCTTCTATCTTAGAAAGCATGTTCCAGACTTTCTATCTAAATATGTACCATGGCATTAAAATTTGTCTTCAGCATTGTAACTTTTTTTGAAAAGCCATAATAATAAGGGATAAAATTAAAATAAGGAGAATACAAAATATCTGTAGTATTGTACTCTTGTTTCAGCTCATTACACATAAAACAGTTTTGATCAGTATGTATTCTATCAGTCTTTAGTGGCATTTCTGAACTAATTAATATATTTATCCTTTATAAGCATAATACTCTTATCCTCTATTATATAATATAAATCTCTATGTTCTCTCTCTATATATAATTTATATATTTATACTCTAATCTTTTTATATTGTATTTATTTCAGGTAATTGTTCAAGGATGTGCTAACTCTATCCAGCATATGTATATTAAAAATGCTTAAAGTTAAGGTGAGAATATTAACAGCTCCTCATTGTTAAAACCTTTTTTCAAAGACCTGCCTATTTCCAACTCCCTTCAGTTTGTTCAGGCTGGGAAGCAATGTTCTGGCAAATACATATCATTTTCTGTACAGGCCCATGGGAAAGATGGCTTAACTTCCTTTTACAGAAGGAACTGACAAGTCTGGATAGCTCAAAACTCATTCAAAAACTCATTCGTATTCTCATTCATATTCTGAAAGAGCTAATTAGTACTCTGAATCAGCCTTTTTCTTTGCTTCCTTTTTAAAATATCAGTGTATAAAAACACGCTAGCATAAACACAAAGCACTTCAAATGGTATAGCCATACATTGCATTTAATAGTGTGAACCAAGTTAAAGGCATGATAAAATCAAGTATAAGCACTACAATTGTAAAAATACAAAATACAGTTATGTTTCATTCTTGTTTGTGTAGGACTTACTGCTGGTTGTGAGGTCTGAGATGTTTTCTTCACTGTAGATGTCCTGGAAAATGCAGTTTCTCTTGAATGGGACTATCCCTTCTCATATAAAACTGCATTGGCATGTATTAACAAAATTTCTTGGAATGTTGTTTTTTTTCTGTTCTCCACAGCGAGTGCATTACTGCTGTTTGTTCCCTCTCTTAGTTCCATCTACCCGAGAATAAAGGAGTACTTTGTTTAATGAGTTTTGTTTGAAAAACACTCAGTAAGGGAAAGCAAAGAGATTATGGAATAAAACAGACGGCAGCCCTTAGTCCTAAATACATAATGATATCCAGGTTCTGCGATGGAAAGTGTGAGCAGTGATTAAATGAAGTAAAATCTGGAGAATCCAGAAACTGTAGACTTACGGACTGGGGGGAAATAATTTAAGTTGCACTGGAGCCAGAGAGTTTTGTTGTTTGTCAGTTGTTGGGTTGTTTTTTTTTTATCACAGATAATCTTATTAAGAGTTTAAATTTCCTAGAAAAGAACTGTGTAATTTATTTTAATTTTTAATTGGAGCAGCAGGACACTTCTATTCTACTGCAGATTTGCTTATCTCTTCCTTAATAGCTTTAGCCTTCCATGGGTTATCCTATAACTTGTTAGCTTTCTATAAGGCTAAAATAAAAGAATAAGGGAATAAAGCTAATGGTAAGGCTTCCATGGTAAATGCAGCACATCAGAGAAGTGGCCTTCACAAGTTGGTTTGAGAAATCCAAGAAGTTGGGAGAAAGGTCTTACTTGTTGCAGCAATGATTTACCCACAGGCTCTGTATCTGACTTCGGGTCTCTTGTGATTCTGTTTGTGAGCCTGGTGTGAATGGAGTTACTGCGGAGCTGCTTCTTGCACAGGAATTATTTTTATTAGTGCAGAGGCATAGTTACTTTCTGCTGGAAGTGTGCCAAAAGTAAACTCTCATCTGGACAAGATTGCTATGAGTTGCACATATCTGGTGTTAGACCTAACATTTGTTTGTAGTAGACGGATAAAATGTTACTGAATACTTGGATTGTGAAAGTGCTGGCTTAGAACTATCTCAGTAGGATCTCAAACAGTTTGTTTTAATGAAATTGTAATATGTTCTGCTTCAGTTTTAGTTCCCTATGAGTAAATTACATCTTGAGGAAAAGTCATGTGGGTTTGCTTTTAATATAGCCCCGTTGCAAGGTACATGTATTGCCCATTATGAGACCTTTGTTGTCAACAATTAGTAAAAATTGTCTCATTTAAGCTTATTCTGATTTAGAGTGTTGATTTCATTAGCAAGGCAGCAGACTTGTGTGAATTAAATTGTACTCTGTTATGTGTGCCTCCTACCCCACCAGAACATAAACCTTCATTGTACAGATGCACTAAAACAGTAAGGGGTGAATAATTGCTGTACTGTTGACAGTTTGGGATGTATCAGTTGAATGATTTTCATATTCATTATTTTGTAAGACTTCAGTGTTATTTTGTAAATATTTCTAACATAATTGGTGGGGGGAAAAGCATTAGTAGTAAAATTATCATCAAATCAACTAGTGAATTTTAAGTGCTCTTGTGTACTCTATTTGCTTTCATAGTTCTACTCTCTATTTGATGCATATTAAAAGGTATGGGAAAAATAGCATGTATTATTTTAAAGGAGTGGCCATTTACAAATGAAAAGCTTTCTCCTGTATCTGTTGCTATAGTAACCAAGCAGCTTTCCTGGGGTCTAAAGAAAACAGCATCTATAATGGAACTGAGGAGTGCTGTGTTTTGTTTCAGAAGCAGAAATTATTGCCCACTGGCCTTGAGATTGCAAATTGAGCTCTTTGGCTCTGAAGCAGTACACTGTTTCTAGATTATGTGCTTTTTTCCTTTAGAAATTTTTGTTAAAGATGTGTCTCTAACTCCCAAAGAGCCCTTATTTCTCACGAGCATTTCTGCAAAATTGAGGTGATTAGGTTATGCCACATGGACTCTGGTTGTTTTCTTATCCCTTATTTTGTGGGGGTAATACCTTATTATATTTCCTAGATATGCATGTGCCTTTAGAATTCCTGTTCAAGGAGCTGATTTGACATGTGAATTATGTATGTGCTCTGTTCAGAAAGATTAACTTTTCTTATACTCAATGTGAACACAAGTTTTTTCTATATCTCTGTAGTCTTCCTCATAGGTGCAACCCATAGCAAAGGCTGATGCTCTGAACACCTGAAGAATTAAAAATCAGCTTTGGGAAATAATTTATGTGTGTTTCGCTGCAGATTCCATATGTCAAGTTTTTTTGTCACCTGGTTTTTAAATAAGTTATTGTGCTTCATATTTCAGTAATTTTAATTATTTTTTCTTTCTATTTTTAACTCTTGCTTTCAGAGAAGCTAGACAACTACAGAAAAACATTCCAGTAATATATGCATGGGATCAGCAGTTCTAACACTGGAAACTTGCTGTGGGTTTTTTCTTCATCAGCACCATTAATTGATATTTTCTTTCCTTTCTCCAGCCAGTATTTTTGCTCAGTTTTGTAAGTTCTGTCTACGTGAAAGACTTATGTTGTTTGGATTTTACAATTCCTTTGAAATTTGTGTTGTAGAAACATTTGTACTGGATAGATGTACTTAACAGCTGAGCTGTTCCCACAGAAAGAACAAAATGGATGGATGGTACCTCTGTGTCAGATTATGTCCACATCAGAGGTTGCTATGAGCAGTTTTGTTTGAAGCAGTAGGAGAAACTTTCTTTTTTGAAGTAGTCTCATGCTCTGGGTTATCAGGAACAATTGGTACACTGAGACTGTGGTTCAAGCAGCAGCTGTTCTTTGGTCTGATTGTGTCTCTTTTTTCTGTCAGAACTAGCACATGTGATGTTAAATTCATGTTCTGTGAGTGCCATTATTGACTGTCAGATCTTTTGTAAAAATTCAGTGGTTGCCTATCATTTTAGCAGACTCTAATAAGCGACTAAATATTTTTTAAAATCTGGCATTTTAGAAATTCGTACAGTACTTGTACACATTGTACAAATTTTCAATGTGCTCCTCCACAGAAATTTTTTCCTTTTTACTGTTTTTAATATCTAGTTTGGAAGATGAGCTGCTTTATTCATTATTGTGCAGAACTTCAGTTTTAGTCCAGCTCCTAATTTTTAATACAGAGGTCTGAATTCAGAAAGTTTCTATATAATACAGTGTATTTATAATTGCATGACATACATATATGTATATCAACAGACACACATATAAAAAAACCATAAAGTGTGTACATATTATTTCATTCTATTTTCAGACACAGGGCAAGCGACTGTTCTGTGAACCAGTCTGATTTGAGAACTATAAAGGAATATATACAAGCTTATCTTCATGGAATTATTCAAACATAGTTTTGGATGAACTATGATACAGTGTGTAAATGTGGAGTTGTGTGGTCATATAAACTGAGTGCACTTATTTCTACCTACCTTTAATTATTTAAATACATATATATAATATTTATATAAATATATAAATATTCCTTTAAATAGACTAGAAATCTTAATATGTTGAAAAGCAATTCCTTGGCTTACATTTTAGAAAAGCCCTGGAGCAACAGAAAACATATAGGGAATGGGTTTGGTTTCTAATTATAATACCAATTTTCTCCAGCTGCCCTTCAGCCTGTATATCAAATATTACCTAATTTGTGTTTTATGTCAGAATTATCTTATGGAAGGATCTGAAGACAGAAGTGCTAATTACTTTACGGATTACATGAAAGTTGCTCTAAATGGACAAAGTGCCATGGGGGTAAAAAATACCAAGTACTAATGGCACGTGAACTAATTGGAAATATGTAGATAACTAAGAGTAAAATTCTGTAGGGTCTTGAAAGCTAAGGCAAATCTTTATATTCCATACCATAACATTGGGCACTGCACAGCTGGTTTGCCTGCTGCAAGAATGCCTTCTTATCTTGTGCCCGATTGCTGATGTCTAGCCAGGTAACTTAGAAGTAATATGTCTCAGAGGAAGATGTCTACTCAAATTTATCTTTCTTTTCCCTATAGGTGGATGTGGCTGTGGTACATTTCACTCCATTGGTGGAACCAAAGATACAGCAGCCATTTGAGCTGGTAGAAAAAGTGGTTCAAAGTGTTTTTCAGTTTAGAAGAAAATACTGCTTCCGTGGAATTGAGTAAGTATTTTTAATAAAAAATTCACGGGTAATGTTTTTGTAAATGCATTAGCTACTAAATCAGCTATGCATTTTGATTTTATTCTTTCAGTTTTAAATATGTCATCATAGTTCATCAGATCTTTCCATTACAGAATGGTTTCTAGACACAAAAGTATGAAATGAATATCTTACGTAATTATGTAATAATTGTGCATTTTTGTTAGGGCAGTTGAAGTTGTTAAAAATCGCTAGGATAAAGTGGTCATCTTTTCAATAGATGAAAAGAAATTTAATAAACCCAACCCAACCACAAAAACTACAGAATGATTGAGTTAAAAACCAGAGATGGCAGTGTGAGGAGAACATCACCTGTAGGAAATTTTACTTATTTGGGGATAATGTCAAAAGGTCACATTTTTCTTTCTGTGCTTGCCTTTTTACAGAGTTCTTATTGGTTTTTTTAAAACCCCAGTGTCTTACTGAGGGAATTTATTAGGTTCTCTGATGTGAGGAAACCTGCAGTCTCTTTGCCAGGGATCCTGTTTAAACTCCACCACCACCACATATCTGACTTACTATGGGCAGTCCTCAGCATTCAGCACTGTTAAATGTGTGACAGAGATGCTGTTAGGACTAGAGGCATCTCCTGCAGCCTGGGCTCCCTGAATGTTGCTGGGCATAGTTTTAGCCCTGATACAGTCTAGAATCGGGGTGGATACTGCCTTAGTGTACTACAAGCCTTCTATGTCACTGTTTTAAAGAATTTTGCATCTAGTTTTTGGTTATTGGGTTCTTTTTCCTTGAGGCTGTGAATGCCATTGATGTGTGGGATGCAGCCATTGGGACCTAAAATGAGTATAGATTTCTCTGTGTTAAAGTTTGAGTATGCATTTGGAAGTATTTATAAAATGAGGTGTCCAAACTCCAGACTGGTTTGGATCTGACTTACAGGGTGGTGATGGTTTTCTTTTTTTCTTTCTTTTTTTCTACTGTGAAGGAATGGTTTCTCTTGACAATGTAAGCAGAAGGCGTGTGCAATCAGCCTGTCTATGTTATGTACAATATTCTTACCAAAGTCTAAAAAAAAAAACCTCCTGACTTTTGTGTAATCTCAAATTGCTAATAACTACTTTACATTCTTTTGAGGCAAGGAGGAGGAATCTGAACTTTTGGACGTCACGTATTCCCCTAGAAGCTTATCATACCGTAGCCCTAGTTTGCAGCTAAGAAACACAATCCTCTTATTCTTTAGCTGACCCGAAAAAAATAGCAAATTTTGGTGTATATAAAAGCTGTTATGTTCTTTATAAGGTTCTCCATCACACAGACTGTATAAAAACAAGGCAACAGAATCACTTTATATTTGTGTATGAATTCTGGGATTTGAGATGTGAAATATAAGATTGTGCTATGAAGTTCATATTATAGTTTGAGGTGTGGTTCACAGACATTTTTAAGATGGTTCATAGTCTGTAAAAAAAAGACTAGGTTGACTTCACTCAGGTATGTTTTTTAACTACAGAATCAAGGAAAGAAGGATATTGAAATAAAAATTAAGCCATTTTAACCTTGCTGACCTAGATGCTGAACTAATGGGAACATTTTGACAAAGGCCTGGAGTAACACATACTTCAAAACAGGTTTCCCAGAAGTTTCATTTTTCACTTATAATTCTAAACCCCTTCTTAACTTTGTGTTCTATGCACCCACCAGAAACCAATTATCATTACTTGTACAAAGCCTTTTGACTAGTTTGTCCAGCCAACCTGCCAAACACATGTGGTGTGTGGAGGGGGATGTTACTGTATTTAGATACACAATATTTTTAGGTATTATATATGTAATACAGATTGAATTTGAAAATTGAGGAATGCCCATGAATCAGGTGCAGATTTTTTGCCTTTCTGGCCTAATCTAGGCTGAGAATATTGCTGATAAGAGACGGTCCTTTCAATAGTTTGAACTGTGTAGTATGTATTTTTGTGTGACATTAAAAATCACTTCCCTAATGTTCTTCAAATATGGGGAACTTCTGAGACAGAGGTACTAACATATCTGGCCCCAGAGTAAATTTACTGACATGCCTATCTGTGAACAATGACAAAACTGGAAACAAAATTATTCTCCCACATTCTAACTATTAAAAAGTGATTGGCAATTAAATACTCCTTTTCTCTTTCTTGGCTTTTTTTCCTGACATTAGAAACAGGGTATTAATGACAAGCAAAAACTCTTTCCATTGGAATGAAACAGTCTGAAAGAAAGCCATATTTGTTTGAATCTGATCTGTTTTGCGCAGTTTAATCTGTTGTTGCTTTCTAAATACAAGGCTAATTCTAAGAAGGCTCTGTGCTTGTATCCATACACAAAGCTCTTTCTAATGTTAGCAAACATGAACATACATGCCTGTGTTTAGTCTAGAATCTATGTAAGTGCCTTCCTATGGTGTCCTAATTTACATTTGCAGAAAAAGGACCTTTATATGTTTCCATTGCTCAGATAATGAGGTATGTTAAGAGGGTGAGAACTAAAATAGTGACATAATAAACACAGGTTTACTATTAAGTAAATTCCATATTACTCCTAAGGGAAATGTAATTGTCTGTCTGAATTGCTGAAATTTTTCTTCATATCTTTTAGGACCTTGTTTCCTGAAAACGAACGCTTAAAAAGAACAGAACAGCTGATGATGACAGCAGATGTTGATCCAACTCTGCGTCCTTTTCAGCTCTCTATGTCACAATTTAGAAACCTGTGCAATGAATATAGGAAAATGTGTGATGAAGACCCAAGCCTTTTTGTGTTCAACTACAGAGAAGAACTACGGCAAAAGAAGACAAGAAGATTACTTGGAAGTACTGGTCAATCTGAACAGACTGAAGAGGAAAATCAGCTGTAACAGCACAATTTATTTTTTTTTATTAGTTTTAACTCCTTGATCTACAGGTGTTGACTCAGTAAAAGGCAGCTTTGATGTTCCTACATCTGTGCAGATAAGAAAGACCTACTTTTGAGAAAGTGGTAGAGAGGGAAGGCATCTCTCTGTATTCCATTCAACTACAGACAAAAGGGAAAAGGCAATCCAGGTTCTTTTTACTTCTGAGCAATGGCTAGAACACATACCAAGAGACAAGGTACGTTGTGAGACAGGTAATTAAGTTGCAATACTTCTGATATAATTGAATAATAAATCTTATGAATAAAAGTGCTTTAATGAAATGGAAGAAAAATACTTTTCAGACATCAGCATATAAGATGGTGTTTGGGTTTTGTGCTTTTTTATCCTGGAACATCCTACTGTGCAGAGTAATTTAGAAAACAGAAGCCAAGACTCTTATAAATACACTCAAGTGACTGGCTTATGGGAGGATAAAGTGCACCAATTGCCTCAAGGTCTGCTAATACTCTTCTCATTTATGCAGAAGCAAAGAATTCGGGATTTAAAGCTCCAACTACAGAAAAGCAGCACAATAAAAAGTAGAAAACATGGCTAAGTACAATACTTATTTGTCTTTTACTGTACAGGCTCATAGAGAAAATAAAAAATACAGTCAAATAAAAGATTACAGGCCAAGCTTTGTTTTTGTATTTACACATATGTATAAAGTATAAACAGCATTGAAACATACAAAAATGAAAGTTCTGCACTGTTGTGCACTAAAACACATTAAAATAACTTAATTGTGCTTTAAATAAAGCAAACATGAAAACCAAAGAAATAAAATGCCCAAGTTATTGAAAAATTCAGTTTGCAATGCTACTTCCCATTGTAAACCCCTCTGCCACTCACTAGCACCCTTTCCACATTACTTAAAATATTAATGAGGCCATCCCCAAGAACACTACATCATCTTAATAACTTCTTGAAAGGGATGAACTAATTTACAAACCTGGGCCAACTTAATCTATTTTTGATCCACAATAAATTAAAATAACTTAAGAATCCTTTACAGCTGTTTTTGAGCAAAAATGTATTAGTGCACAAAATCAGAGAGTAGTTTTCCTGCAGCTTCCATGAATTTACTAGTTTTAAAGCAAAATGTTTGTTGAATTTTATGTGGACTTCAAATGAATGTTTCAATATAGTGCTTAGAAAGCTAGGATTTTCCATGCCTCTCCACAGCTTCATAAAAACAGTCCTCATTAACTACAGATGTTAAACTCTGGACACTAAATTCTCTCTCTAAAATAGAGTTCAGATCCAGGTTTGCAGCATCAGAGTGACTGTCAAGGGATTGGTGACGTTCTTGCATTGCCATTAGAGTTCCTCTGTTACGCTTTGTGCTGTTTACTTTTCTCTTCACTGGGCA